TTTCGGGTCTGGACCCGAAACGTCAGCTTTCCTGCTCCTCTGATGCTGCTTGGCCTGCTGTGTTCATCCAGCTCTACACCTTGTTATCTCAATAATTCTGCCTGATGGCTTTCTCTTCTGGGATGTGCTTTGATACTTATTTGTTGCGAGGGGAAAAAGTGTGAAATTAAAGCTCAGGCTCAGCTGTACAAAACCCTGGTTGGGCCCAACTTGGAGTGCTGAGAGCAGATGGGGCACCATACCTTCAGAAGGATATATTGGCCTTGGAGGGTGTATAAAGTAGGTTTCCATTTACAAAAATGATACCTGGACTTCAGGGGTTAAGTTATGAGGGGAGATTATACAAATTAGGCCTGTTTTCTTTAGAATTTAGAAGAGTAAGGGATGATCTGATTGAAAACTTCAAGATATGAACAGGAAAAGACAGGATAAATAAAGATAAACTTCATAGTTTAAGAATTCCGGCCAGACCATTCAGGAGTGTTGTTAGGAAGCACTTCTACACACAAAGGTGTTTAGAACCCTCATCCACAAATGGCAGTAGTTGCTGGTTTAATTACTTAACAGAAACTTATCTATCTCTGTTTTTAAAATCAACCAAGGTAGTACGGAACAAAAACAAAGTTGCTGGAAAAGCTCAGCAGGTCTGGCAGCATCTGTGAAGGAAAAAACAGAGTTAACAGAGTTAGCGTTCTGAGGAAGGGTCACCGGACCCGAAATGTTAACTCTGTTTTCTCCTTCACAGATGCTGCCAGACCTGCTGAGCTTTCCCAGCAACTTTTGTTTTTGTTCCTGATTTACAGTATCCGCAGTTCTTTCGGTTTTTATTGAGGTAGTAAGGAATATGGGCCATTGGCAGGTCAGTGGAGGTGGGCCACAGATTAGTCATGATCTCATTAACTGGTGGAACAGGGTTGAGGAAACTTGAGGATGAATGTGTTCCTGTGCCAAGGCAGATTCCTCCTTTTTATTTTGTTCAGTGTTACGACTGAGACTGAAGGAGTGTACTATTACTCTCGTCCCTCTACTCCACAACATAGAATAAAAATAACTTCAACAATTAGTTACAAGATGACCGATTAAATCCATTATCGGTATCAGGTTATAAACAAAAAGGTCTATCAACCAGGTTTCTTAACAAGCACAGTAATGGGTTTATTATCAAAACAAATCTTGTTCAATAAAGATGTAATATTTGGTTAACATACACAGTCCATCATATGAAGTATAAATGCTTATCCCCATGACTGTCAGCAACACACCGAGACAAACACACATACAGACACAGACACACACACAAACACAAACAGACAGACGGACACATACACAGACAGACACACACACACACACCCCACCCCCTTTCCTTTGCTGCTGAGCAAAGCAAAGAGAAAGAACCAGAACAGATTCCTCTCCAGGTACTAGCTCTCTGAGAAAAAAGAACTTTGGCCCATGAGTTATTTTTGAAGGCTAAAAGGATAAATGTTAAAATGGTTCAGAGATTGTTCCTCTGATATTCTGGCATGTGGGTTCAAGTCATTAATCATGTATGGTTGTCTCTGATGTCTCGTAGACACAACTTGCTCACGAAATATAACCTTGAGGTGTTCTTTCAGTAAGCCTTTCAAAAGAATAAACAGGCTTTATTCTGAAGTAATGTAAAGGTTTTCTTTACAAACCTGGGATAAATCAGTTGAGCAGTTTTTTCATAGCAGGCTTTCCTCCAAATTGGCTTGTTCTTAGCGGGCTTTCCACCAACTCACCTTGTGTGTAGCAAGCTTTCATCCAACGAAACAGCAGGCTGTTCTCAAACACAGTTTGATCTCAGTGAGCTTTTGTCAAACTCAGCTTTTTCTCAGCGGCTTCCTTCCAACTGAAGTAGCTAAAATAATAACCTGTCCATGCCAGTCACTGTTGGGGGTAAAAACAGCTCCCAAAAAGTAAAACAAGCACTTTTCACCGTTCACATGATTTCACGGAAGCCTTATTTTGAAATAAAATGCCAAATTCCATAGTGAACTTTCAATGACCTCTTTTTAAAGAAACCACTCCAGGTATGTCCACAAAACTAAAAGCAAATTTCTCTTCCCACAATCCTTCAAAATTTACGTCCTCCAAGTGATGTTAAATACAAAGTATCTTTGTAATGATGGGATGTCCGGCTGTGCATGGGCCAGCATTTCACACTCATCTCTAATTGCCCATGAGAGGATGATGGTGAACTGCTGCAGTTAATGTAGTGTAGGCAGATACATAATGCTGTTAAGGAGGGAGTCCCAGGAATTTGACCTCCTAGAGAGAAGCAGCAATGATACGGCTCCAAATGAGGATGGTGTGTGCCTTGAAGGGGAGTTTACCAATAGTGACGTTTTCATGTATCTGATGGCCTTGAGCTTCCAGGTTGTATATGGCTGTGAGTTTGGAACGTGGTGTTGCAGGAGCTGAGGTTATTTTACTGCAGTGCATGCTACAGTGCAGTTCTGTAACAGGCCTCTCCCATGTGGTCCACAGGACTATCAGGAGGAGATTGCTGCAACAAGTGAGAACAAAATGCAGCTGCAACAAATGGGCCAGAGACTGATCCGGGCAAGTCACGAGAGTAAAGCTTCTGAGATCGAATACAAACTGGGCAAGGTTGATGATCGCTGGCAGCATCTGCTGGACCTGATTGGCGCCAGGTAAGATGTACAGTTGGATTGGTTATGGTATCAAATAAATGACATGCAAAGTGACGATTAGACCTATTGGCACCATCAGAGCTAGTGCAACTACACAGCGGTGATGTTGAATATTGAAGGTCATTTTACTTTGTATTGAGGTCTTATTTTCTTTATAAAGGTATTAATACATCTGCAGACCTGCTCCTTTCCAATTTGCCTTTAGTGGTTGCTGATGAAGTTCTAACCAGTTTTTTTTTGAGTTGACTCACAGCAGAAAGGAATCACAGCATTAGAAAAGGTTATATTATCAGGACATGCTGCATCATCATGAATAGGCTGGGGCAAAAGCTCAGAGGAGGGAATGGAAAAGTGGCATTGTGACTGGACTAGGAATCCTGAGAACTATCCACCATGATAGATGGTGGAATTTAAGTTTGATTAGAAAACTGGGTTAAACAAAATAATTAATGTAAAATGCATCTCTGGTGGGCCTTGAACCTGGGCTAGGGGTGTGGACATTACCACTGCACCGCCAAGAGGCCCTTACTTTAAGTTTAATAAATTAAAAATCGAATGAAAATCATAAAACTGTTCTTGATTTTTGTAAAACCTGATCTGGTTCACCAATATCCTTTAAGGAAGGAAATCTGCCATCCTTACCTGGTCTGGCCTACATGTGAACCCTCAGCAATGTGGTTAACTCTTCATGGCTAATTAAGTCAATTAAGTAACCTCTCATGAATGAATAAAATCAGCTTAAGACCATAAGATGTAGGATCAGAATTAGGCCATTCAGCCCATCGATTCTGCTCTGCCATTCGATCATGGCTGATATGTTTCTTAACCCCATTCTCCTGCCTTCTCCCTGTAACCTTTGATCCCTTTACTAATCAAGGACCTATCTGTCTCTGTCTTAAATACATTCAATGACTTGGCCTCCGTAGCCTTCTGCAGCAATGAGTTCCACAGATTCACCAGCCTCTGGCTGAAAAAGTACCTCCTCACCTCAGTTCTGAAGGGTTGTCCCTTCACTCTCCTACTAGTGGAAACATCTTCTCTATGTCCTGCTTCCTCAACACTACCTGTTTGTCCATCTTTTTTGTGTCATCAGCAAACTGACAACAATGTCCTCAGTTCTTTTGTTAAGATTGTTCATGCACAGTGTGAATAGTTGTGATCCCAAGACTGACCCCTGCAGAACTCCAGTAGTTAATGGCTGCCATCCTGAAAAAGGCTCCTTTCTGCCTTCTGTCAATCAGCCAGTCCTCTATCCACACCAGTACCTTGTCTCTAACACCACAGGCTCTTATCTTATTTAGCAGCTTCCCATGTGGGACTTTGTCAAAGGCCTTCTGGAAATCCAAATTGATCATGTCTGCTGGCTCTCCTTTTCCGAACTTGCTCCTTACTTCCTGGAAGAATTCTAACAGATCTGTCAGGCATGACCTCCCTTTGATGAAGCTGTGTTGACGCAGCCCTGTTTTACCATGCACTTCCAAGTACTTCCCAATCTCATCCTTAATAATGGACTCTAGAATTTTACCAACGACCAAGTTCAGGTCAACCAACCTAGAGTTTCCTGTCTTCTGCCTCCCTCCCTTCTTAAACTGCAGTATTACATTAGCCATTTTCCTGTCCTATAGGACCCTCCCTGACTCCAGTGATTCCTGAAAGATCACCACCAATGCCTTTTACAGTGCGCTCAGCTACCTCCTTCAGAACTCTGGGCTGTAGGCTATCTGGTCTAAGTAATTTAACTACCTTCAGACCTTTCAGCTTCCCCAGCACCTTCTCCTGAGTGATGGCCACTATGCTCACCTCTGCCCTGTGACTGTCTTGAATTTCCCGTATGCTGCTGGTGTCTTTGACGTTGAAAACTGTTGCAAAGTACCTATTCAGTTCCTCTGCCATTTCTTTGTTCCCCATCACTGCTTCTCCAGCCTCATTTTCCAGCAGTCCAATATCCACTCTTACATCACTCTTACTTTTTAGATACCTAAAAAATCTCTTGCAATCTTCTTTTATATTACTAGCTGGCTTATCCTCATATTTCATCTTCTCCTCCCTTATTGCTTTTTTTTTCAGTTGTCCTCTGCTGGTTTTTAAGGGCTTCCCAATCCTCTGGCTTCCCACTAATCTTCACTACATTGTATGCTTTTTCTTTTGCTTTTATGCTGTCCCCGACTTCCCTTGTCAGCCATGGTTGCCTCGACCCCTTTAGCATATTTCTTCTCCTTGGGATGAATTTCTGCTGTGCCTCCTGAATTATCCCCAGAAATTCTTGCCATCGCTGCTCTACTGCCTTTCCTGCTCCGCTCCCCTTCCAATCAACCGTGGACTGCTCCTCCCTCTTCATCCTTATAGTTACCTTTATTCAGTTGTAGTACTGTTACATCTGATTCCAGCTTCTCCCTCTCAAACTGTGGGGTGAATTTGATTGTATTATGGTCACTGCCCCCTAGGAGTTCCTTCACCTTAAACTCCCCAACAAGTCGCCTCATTACAGAATTACCCATTCCCTAGTGATCTCTACCACAAGCTGCTCCAAAAAAATACTCTTGTGGACATTCTGTGAATTCCTTTCCTTGCGATCTGTCACTAACCTGATTTTCCAGTCCACCTGCACATTAAAATCCCCCATGATTATTGTAACGGTGCCTTTCTTACATGCCTTTTCCATCTCCTGATTTATTTTCTTCCCCACATCCTGACTACTGCTAGGAGGCCTGTACATTCTTCCATCAGGATGTTTATCATTGCGGTTCCTTAACTCTACCCACACAGATTCTACACCTTCTGACTCTATATCACTTTTTGCTATTGATTTAATTTAATTTCTTACGACCAAGGCGACCTGGCCCCACCTGCCCGTCCATTCGATAGGATCCTTGGATATTTAGTTCCCAGCCCTGATTCCCCCAACGTCAAACCTGCCAATTTCAATCTGTGCTGCAAGCCCATTTACTTTGTTTTATATAATGCGCGGATTTGAGCACAACACCTTCAGTCCTGTGTTGACTCTTCTTATAGTCATCCCCTTATCTGCTGTGCCTGAAGTTAGATTCCTGACCCTTTCCATACTCACTGTCTTATTACTTGTTCTGGAAACTTTAATAAACCTCCGCTGAACTGTCACAGCCCACTTAACCTTTTCCATAACTTTCCATGCAATTGAACGCATTCCCCCACTATTTATTTTAAAACCCTATCCGCAGCCCTGGTTATGTGATTGGCCAGAACTCTTGTCCCAGCATGGTTCAGGTGGAGCCTATCTCATGGGAACAGCTCACTTCTTCTGCAGTGCTGCTGCCGATATCCCATACATTCAAACTTGTTTCACCCACACCAGTCTTTGAGCTGTGTGTTTACCTCTTTACTCTTGTTGACTCTATGCCGATTTGCTCATGGTTCGGGTAGTAATCCTGAGATTACCTTTTTGGTTCTGCTCATAGTTTAACACCCTAGTTGCTCATATTCCCTCAGCAGAGCCCCTTTTCACTTATATCACAGGTACCTACGTGGACCACAACAACTGGATCTTTCCCCTCACAGTACAAGTTTCTGTGCAGCCCAGATGAGATATCCTGAACCTGGACACCAAGGGGCAACATAGCCTTTGGGACTCTTGATCCTGGCCACAGGGAGCAGCGTCTATTCCTCTGACGCTTTTATCCCTGATTACAACTGTATTTCTCTTTTCTCCCCCTCTCTTGAATGGCTGTCTGTACCATGGTGCTATGGTCAGTTTGCTCATCCTCCCTACATCCCCCCACTCTCATTCACACAGGGAGCAAGAATCTTAAACCTGTCAGAGAAGCTCAAGGCTTGAGGTTTCTTCAGTGTTACCTTCTGGATCCCTCTACCTGTCTCTCACCACTGACCGAATTCAAGGTAGTGAATCTAAGGGGTATGACTGCATCCTTGAACACAGCATCCAGATAACTCTCGCCCCTCCCTGCTGTGTTGCAGTGTTTGAAGCTCAAACTTAGCTCATCAGCACTGAGCTGGAGTTCTTCAAGCAAACAGCAACTTGCATCAGAGATAGTAGGAACTGCAGATGCTGGAGAATCTGAGATAACAAGGTGTAGAGCTGGATGAACACAGCAGGCCAAGCAGCATCAGAGGGGCAGGAGGAGGACCAGTTCCTCATCCACCAGCTCTCACATGATGCAGTTAAACACGTTGCCTGGCCCGCATTTCTCTTTTATCTACTTAGTTCCTAATTTGATTTTTCAAAATTTCCTTTTGGTCTTTTAGTTTGCAGCCTGTAATTGCTTCCGCTGTTTACCTTCAATCTGAAAGTAACCTATAATAGATAGTCAAATTAGTAGCTCTCACTAACCAATGAATCTTTGATGTTGCTCTTTTGCACTGGGCCCATGATCCTGCGCCTCAATTTATCCTGTTTTAAAAAAAAAGCCTTACAAACTATGGACCAAAAACAAAAACAAGCAAAAAGGATCTCTTCCCCTCTGCACTGAATTCTCATGCTGCCTATAAATTCCCCGAATTGTATACTCACTCGGGCTGTGTCACACTTTGAATGTGACCTCTCTCTTTTCTAACTGTGTGAAGTTTACCGACATGTATCTCTGCGAGTGTGGGAGATCAAGTGGTGATCTCAGTGAGGCGTTCAAATTGCTTAAATAGTTTTGAGAGATTAAATACCAGGAAATAATTTCTTCAGGTGGCGATATCCAGGTCGAGGGAGTCTTAAAGAAGGTACAAAGGTGAGTAATTGGAACAGTAACTAGGATGAAAAGACTTCAGTTCCATTGAGAAGCTAGAGCTTGAGCTGGAAAAGGTAACGGGGAGATTTGATGGGTTTTTTCAAGTTCCTAAAGGGTTTTGATCAAGTTAATAAGGAGAAATCTAATTTGGTTGTGTAGAACTTGCGCATTGCTGAAAAAGGAAACATTTTGATGAAGCTTTTTATCTTGCATTCAACAGGACTATTTGTGAGAAACACCAAAGTAAAGATCAAGTCTAAACATTGTTTTCCCTGAACTTGGTATTTC